GCTCCCCACGCTTCCCTGCCGAGGCTTAAGCAAAAACCCTTGGACGCTTGCGACCGGGTGGTCCTGGGGTGGGATTCAGCTTTCGCGCGGCGCGCAGCCCACGACCCCCCTGGGTCGAGGCGCGACGCTTGCAGCTGCAAACCCTAAACCCTAAACCCTGGGGCCAGGTTGCTGGCCAACCCAGGACATCCCATACACTCTGAACCTGAAGCCGGAGCCGACATGAGCTATAATCTAAACTCCTTACTTAAAGAGCTATATAGGGGATTATGTAGTCTAAGGTTTAGGGTTTAGGGCCTAAACTCCTTGAAGGAGTTATAGGGGATCATATAGGAGACTAACCTAGGGGTTTTTTGGGGGATGCTTAATAGGAGTTTAAACTATCTCATAACACTAAGCTGCAACAACCTGAACCCCAAGCCGAAAACCCGAAGGCCTAAAGCCAGAACGTTGAAACCTTAACTCCAAACTCTTGAGCCCCAAAATCCTAAACCCGGCGCCCTGCCTGCGAAGGAACCCAGGAGGCAAGCCCAGCTTTGCTTACGAACTCCGTTGTCCGGCACTGAAGGTTGCTGATGGTGTCCTCACATTCTGGATTTAGGTCTAGGGGAGGATCTCAAATTTTGAGAAGCCTGAACAATACGAAGCATTAACCCCCATCCCTCCTCCCTAAGCCCGAAATCCTAGCCCAAGCGTTTTGTCAACATATCTTCTTTTGCAAGCCGTACGGGGAGGTCCCTATAATCGCTGTTTTCCCTCGAGGTCTCTTTTCTTAAAGAACCTCCTTACTTGCCTGCATGAATCCCTACACCCCAAAACACGTTCATTTCCCGCCCGCCTCTGGTGGGGGAGCTGACCCCCTCTAGCTAGGATACAAGGGGATGAGGTACGTTCCAGGGGTCCTATAATCAGGATTACAGCATTTGGGGTCCGGGGTTCCTCTAGTTGCTCCCAAGTACATGCTTGAAGCAAGCATACATAGGAATCTTGGGGCCACTGGTTGCGAACGATCTTTATGGATGAGACTAACTGCAAGCTACTCCTCATGTGATGGGCAAGTCTATGAAACTCATTGAGATCAGCATTATAGGAATTGTCAACAGTGCTGCGGAGAAATGTCTGCTTGAAAATGCAGGGCATCAAGAATGTTGAAGAACCGGACACCCCTGTTGCAATCATAACAAGAACATGTCCGCGACTCGGATGTGTAAAGCAACAGCCCTGACAGGGCCCAACGTACTTAACCCATACCCCATACCCTGGACCCGCAACCCTCCCCTTGCGCGACCCGGCACACCTTCGTTGCCAGCACGGATGGGCACATAGAGACCGCTGTGCCCTCCACCGCTTGCCACGTCGGGATGATCTTGCTGATTGCCCGACTATTTTTCTCCTGAGTTCTAGCAGGTTTGTGCAACAAGCCCAAGTGGTTTCTGGGATTCTTGCATCGTTGTGCGGGTACCTGGGGGCTGTCGGAATACACTCCGTCATCTTCTGTCTGTCCTATGTACTGTGCAGAGCACTTATAACCCAACACATATAACGGAGGCAGGATGACTTAAGACTTAAATCATGAGTACTCAGTCTGCTTACGTCATAACATAGAAGTACGCATGAAAGTAGTACACGGGATGCCTAACCTGAACTATCCCACAAAGGATTCCACAAGGAAACCAATTCTAAGGGGTTTTATTAGGAAACCTTCCGGACCTCAGGGAGGTCTTCAAGAATTCTGAGTTTGCTCAAGGCCCCAAGAAATTAGGACAACATCATTTTCTTAGAACTGTTTACAAAGTCCAGAAACCCATTGTTATCAAAAACGTCGGCGCACTATTGCTCAGAACTGGAGGCCATGATATACCCTCTTCGGGACGCAACCCACGTGATGCCATCTCTCCTAGACATGCAATGAGTGGCCAGCTGACCCCACATGTACTGAAACGGATAGTAAGCGGCATATATATCCGAGCCATGTACGTCCTTCTGGGTGTTGCCGAAACTCCCCCGCAGCCAAACCAAAAGACCCCTAGCAGCCGAAAAGCGGGTTCCTGGCAATCGTCCTAGCCAACTTGGGATGGTTTATTGACCTGAACTACGGCACTTCCGGGGGTACTTACCCATGCAAACTACTCTTCAGGTGATGTCAGGTAGGGTCCCTGTCAGTTGCCCAGAATACCAGACCCCAAACCTTCAATCCCAAATCCGATAATCACCCTGAAGCCCAGCATCGGCTTGCTCTTTGATACCAATTGCGTCTCCAATGGAACTCTGAGCCTGAAACTGTTGGGGTGTAGGGCTCAGGCTTAAGGGATTAGGGATTAGGGCATTAAACTTGCTAGCTGACTGAAAATGCATTTTCATGCGGATATGCCTGGTTTGGCGATGACGGTTCTGCAGGGAATGTATGAAAAATGTGATCTAAGGCTACGCAAACCAATTCCCCAATGGTCAGGTGCTAGCATACCTTCCACCACTGCCAGCAAATTGGTATCTCTGTTATCCTGCAGCAGTTAAATTCAATTCAACCCTTCTTTGCGGTGCGAGTATTTTTTTTCGAGCGCTTTTCCCATCACATCTTCTGAGCGAGGGCGCAAGTGGAGGCAGAGTCCGGGATGTGATGTGCCATTAACTCAGCTGCAACATCTTCAGGATGATCATGTTCAGGCGCCGGGCGTTTGGGGGGTTCTCAAAATTGTGGGCCCCTAGGGAATTCCAAAAATGGGGAGCATGTAAGGAACATGAGGAGATATGGAGGTTCCCCTTTTGGCAATCAAGGACAGCTTTCTAGAGAAACTGCCGGCTTGAGTGTGGGAATCATCAGGGAAGTGCTCAAATTCACGCCAGCTACCATGGGATATGTATGCCAGCAATAGCCAGCTTGCTGCAACATGGCTATGGGGCTGGTATGATTTGGCCTATGTCATGCCTTCGGGTTCTTGAAAGCTAGGGTCCTGACATGGAAAACATATGTCTCCCAAGGCTCACTCCTCTGCCTCCAGCAGGTCATAATCATGAGGGCTGGGTGAAAGCTATGCTGGGCAAACATTGCAAAACCGAGGGACCAAAGATTTCCCCTCAACCTACAACAGCCCACCCCAAACTCTAGACGCACAACTCCAAAATCCTGTAAACCAAATCTAGACCACAGAACCCGAAAATGCAGTAGAGTAGGACCACATACCCACCCTCCCCCCAACTGACATGCAATCCCAAAGAGCCTCATAAAGAGGGCCGATGTGGAGCTCATGTTTTGTTTAGAGAATGTTACTACCAACCATGTGGTGTCATCTTTAATCCGAATCTGCAAGGTTACACGCTACCAAACTACACTCTAAACCCAAGACCCCAACCCCAACCGGTAGAACAACATCATATGGAAGTTGTCAAGACTTAGGGCCCCTGGTTCTGGGGGCATCCAAGAGTAAGGATTTTAATGAAGTATTCCGGTGGTAAAAACCCTAAACCCTAAACCCCATCCAAGAGTGGACACAAAGCCCAGCGCAGGCCTGCGCGACAATATCCAGCCGTCGAACCGCCTGGCGTGAGCGCGGAGAGAAAATAGGGTTTAGGGTTTAAGGCTTTGGAACCCCCCAGTATCTGAAATGGTCGGTACCCTCAAAACTTGGAGATGATCGGGCCCCGAGGATCCAGAATGTAGATCCTCTGCTTCCACCTATACAACAAGGGGGTGCGAATTCAGCGGTTATGCTGTTGGGGCGGATCACCTCAAGAGTGTAGAAAGGCGAGGTCTGAGCTTTCCGTCTCGCTGTAAGATTGCTGTTTTGATCTTTGTGGATAAAGGTGCTGGACTGCGGTTTAAGTCTAAAGGTTTAGGATACTTCTTGGACAAAGCTGTCAGCACTTGCAGAAATAGAACAGCCATTCCCACTTTTCTTCTTCTGACAGTTTGTCTTCAAAGCACAGTCCAGCAAACTCGGACTTCATGATTGAAGTCTTGGGAGATTAGTCGCCTCCAATCGACTCCTTGCGTGCTGGCCCATTCTACAAGAGTCATAGAAACTGGCTAGCTTTCTTGGCAGTAAGCCAGAGGCCTTCAACTGTAAAAGCTTCTTCCCGCCAGCGCGCATGGCATGTGCCAATGCAAAGGTCTCATGTAGAGATTTTTTCGATTTCAGGCCGCCGGGGAAGTTTCTCAGAACCCAAGCTTGGCACGCACACCAAGGACAAAGACCCCAATCAGGTTCTCTGGCTCATAGGACGACACACATACCCTAAACCCCCGACTCCAAAGCCCGAAGAACTGTACCTGCAATGCGTGTTTCGCCTGTGCTCGAACAAAGGCAAACATCCCTGGATTCAGTTTGGGTGTTTTGCAGGGTGTTTGGTCAAGGAATATAACCAAAATAGGGAGGAACAGTTAGAGGGCGGAAGCGGAAGGAAGCTGGTTCAATCAGTTCCCCCAAAGATTTTCAGAACATGCCACTGCCCAGTCCGAGGTAGAGCCTACACTCCTTGGGGGGGGGTTCTATAGGGGATTGCATAGGGGACTATTCTCTCCCTCTCTGCCGTGCCATCCAGAGGATCTTGCGCAGCAAGGGCACGCTATACATGTGAAACCATCTCCTATTATGGGGGTTATTAAGGGGGATACTAGGAATGCAGACTATAGCTCACTGAAAACAGACGTACCGGCCCTGGTCCCGCTTTGGCATTTTTCAATAGAAGCCACAATGCTGAAACATCAGCATTTCCTACCCCAAGACACGGGAAAAGGACAGAGCAGCACAAACCATCCTAAATCACGCTCCAACTTGCCGGGTGGGAGGTTCTTGGGCTTGGAAATGAAGGCTTATAGGGGCTAGGGCTCACACATCCCATCCCCAGAAGCCTTTCAAGTCTAATGTGGAGCCCCTTGTTAATAACCCCCCCTCCTTAATAGGGATTATAATCGGGATTCTAATATTCAGGCGCTTTTGGGTTTATGAATCACGGGTCTTCATTGTACACAGCTTTCTCCAAGCATGTCAGGTCTAGCTCGTCAAGCATGGAAGGGAGCAACGCCACATTGCCGTTGGCCATATAGCCGTGCATGATGGCATCCAGCGCAAAGTTTGAGAAGACAGCTTCACCAGGAATTGCTGGCATAGCAGATATCCACACCTGCAAGGCCTGTATCCACTTGCGGGCCGAAGTCAGGGAGCGCACTGAGCAATTAAAGACGATGCCGGTGCAAGACTGCGAGTTGCGAAACATCCCATGAAGCAAGCACCTGGGTTTGTTCTAAAGGCCCTTCGAAGAAGCATTCGATAGTTATCCGTGCTTTGGATCCTCTTTTCAACAACAAGTTCATCCAAAGCAATGCCGAAGTAAATTCAAGGCACGCAGAATGAGCCCATTGAGCGCTTCTAGCACAAGCGCCCAGCAGCTTGCTGTAAGCTACCTGGAAAGTGTTCAAAATTTTGCTCCTGTTGCAGAAAGGGACCATACTTTGGACAACCTACCACCTAAGTCAATAGTGCTTCTAAAAAAAATGCTTGCAGCTTAAGGATGACTCGGATCTACCCTCCCCTACTCACCTGACCCACGCAAGCTCCTGTAAGACGGACAGTAGTCCGTACATGGCCCTTTTGGTAGTTTCATGTTACTGTAGTCTCCCTAGACCTATAATGAAGATAATATTTTTAACCATTCCCTAGGGTTGGATTGTAATAAGACATCGAAATAATTCCTAAGGTGACCACAGGTTAGTTGGTAGCAAACAACAACTCGCGGAGCTGCTTCGTCACTTTCCACATGCTGCTTTCCCATCTCCTGCAGAAGGCCAAGTGCTCTAGCCCAGGATCCAGACTCCTGGTTGATTCGAAAGCTTCTGGAAGACCGGGCTGCTGTTAAAGAACTTAAGTTACATTACCATAAGAGTATGTAGATATAAATATATATATATAGTAAATAGTAACTGAGATTAAGTTCCTTAACAGCAACCCAGAAACAGCCCCATACCCTGAGCCTTCAAAACGAAAACCCGAACATCTTCTCCAAACCAGCCATAGGCTCTTCTAGAGAACAGGCCGCCGCGTTGTAGGCCGCAGGGTACGGCATCAATGCCTTAGCTCCCAGGCTCTACGGCTGAAGGATAAGCTTTCCAGAGAGTGCGAGAGAGGGAGAGAGAGAGAGAAAACAAATCCAACAAACACGGCACAGAGGCCCTTATCAACAAGAGCCTGCGGTGGATGAAGAAAAATCTTGCAACCCTGACGATCACGCGTGGTGCAAGAATTCATCCATCCACCGCACGTCAACGTAGTCTTCGTTGACCCCTTTGGGCGGGGTCGTGCTGGTTTGGGGCACAGCAGTTTTGCCATTCCAGCTTGCTTAACGCTAAACTTTATGGTTTGTAGGAAGAGAATGAGGGGGCTATAGCTGAGTAATTTAGGACAATTCATAATTAATCCTGAATTATGGCCTTTTTGGATACATTCCGAATAGCAGCTACAAGTCAGGGTAATCTCGTTTGAGCTCACTGTATCTTGCCCAGCTTAGGGACTACTATAAGAAATTTCTACACGGGCCGCTTTCGGGGTCCATTCCCCCGTGCACCACACTATCAACCCAACATCCTGAGTGAAAAAAAGATGGTGCACTTGCTGTTCTTTTACCCTAACCCCTGAACCCTAAACCCTAAACCCTGAACCCTAAACCTTCCCGAAACCCTGAACCCTAAACTCCGTCAAACAACTTTCCATCCAAAAATCCAAAGTGCCACCTGCCGAGTACAGGCCAAGGTATAGAGTGAAGGTGCCTGGATTGAAGGTGGAGCCATCACTGATGTTGTGTATGTGTATGAACATATGTATGTATATATATTAAAAAATATAAAGACGTTGTGTGTGTGTATGACAATATGTATATATATTTTTCATTATCATTATACATATATATATGTGGGTATTGTAGGTCTATCTAATTTGTCTAGGCATGTGTTTATTTATCTAATTAGGAATTTCTTTGGCTATATAGGGAATCGAAAATGGAAACTGTGAACATGATATATAGTCCCCAATAGCAGTAGTTTCCGGTTCATCTTCCATTTGATTCTCCATTGTTGGAGTACACCCCTGTCTATCCCCATATCAGCCGTGGTCTAAGCCCCTAGTCCCCCTTGGTAAACCTATAATTCTCCCCTATATAATCCCCTAAATAAACCCCTTCAAGGAACCCTTCACCCTTAACCTTGTATAATCCCCCATACAACCCCCCTTCAAGGAGTTTAGACTACTGCTCATGCAACCGCGACTACTTGCATGTTCAGAGATGGCTTCGGGTTGAGGATTTGAGGCTTGCCGCTTGCATGACCAGGAGCCCCACAAGGCAACAATTAGGGTTTAGGGTTTTGGGATTCAAGGTTTTGGGATTTAGGGTTTTAGGGATTTAAGGTTTTGGGATTTAGGGTTTTGGGATTAAGGATTTTGGGATTTAGGGTTTGGAGTTGAGGGTTTAGGGTCGGGGTTTAGGTTTTTAGGGTTTAGGGGTTTGGGATTAGGTCGGAGAGACAAGGGCGGTGTAGGATGTGGACTGCAAAGTCACTATTCCGGATTCAGTGGTTCATCCCTACAGAATGCCCTATGTACCGCTAGAATGGCATCTGCATTCATTCTACCACTCCGCCTTCAAAACCTGTAGGGAAAAATTGTTTCCAGCAGTGAAACAGGGGCCCAGAGGAGGCATCGAGCTAACGCATGGCCAGTCGAACTGAAGCTGATCTCGCTTTTCCTGAGATTCAGGGGCTATGAGTTTTGAGATCTAGGATCTAGAGTTTAAGGCTTAGGGGCCCCCAATTGCATGGCATGAAGCAGCGAAAGGTACGACGAGGCGAGCGAAAGGTGTTAGCCTACGCCACGCATACGAAAGCATTCGCATGGCATCCTCAAGCTTCTACACTATATGCCGGGATATCGAGCGCATGCCTTGCAAAGGTGATTGACCGCCCATGTCTGTGAGAGTGACGAGCTAGGAGGTAAGGCATGTGTCCTCTAAAGTCTCATGCCCAAGATGCAAAGAGCACACCCCGGACAACGTAACTTGACCCCCGCGCAGAGATTCAACACACGGGAAAGAACAAAACAAACCTCCCCACATGGGAAAAACAAGAAGATGCTAACGACTGCAACGCATAGGTGGTTCTGCTCAAGCCCCAGGCCCAGTTCCGAGAAGATTTATCTTGCGTCTCACTCAAACAAATTCTGCATTTGAATGGAAGTGACTAAAACGACACCAACATGGAAGCTAGACCGAATCGGTCTTGGTGATAAGTACAACGCTACACCTTACAGACTTCAAACTTCAACGTTTTGCCAGCTCGTGCCTTCGCGCAATGCGCGTGCGGACAATGCCTTGTAGACACCAAAACACCACCTGACAAGTCGCCTTAGTGTCGACTTTATCCAATGCATGATCGTCTGCCCCTCATTGCCAACAAACCTGCGTTGACATGTTTTTCGAGCCTGAGGAGTAGTGTCAATATGTGTCAATTACCAGGGCCGTTTCAATTTCACCGTTTCACCTGTCAGGAAACGGC